TTGTCTTGAAGAAATGCGCGCCTGAACTGGCGCCCGCCCTCTCTAAACTATATAATTACTGCCTCAAAGAATCTTGTTTTCCTGACTGCTGGAAGTCCTCTTCGATTGTTCCTGTCTTCAAGAACTCTGCCGACCCCTCTGACCCTTCTAATTACCGTCCTATCAGTCTCCTACCCCTCTTTCGGCAAAGTCTTCGAAGCCCTAATCAATACCGAAGTGGTTAACCACCTTACATCCCATGATCTGCTCTCAGACAAGCAATATGGCTTCCGCTTTGCCCGATCTACAGCTGATGTGCTTACGGCCATCACTGAAACTGTCTACCAAGCTCTTCAAAATAACGGGAAAACCTCGTGCCGTGGCCCTAGACATCTCCAAAGCGTTTGATAGGGTTTGGCATGCCGGCCTTCTTCGCAAGCTCCAGGGTTATGGCATTACGGGTCGATTGTTTGACCTAATACAATCATTACTGTCAAACCGTGAATTGAAGGTGGTTCTCAATGGATTCTCCTCCAGTACCTATCCCACGAACGCAGGTGTTCCCCAAGGCTCCATCCTAGGCCCCACTCTATTCCTTATCTACATAAATGACCTTCCTGACGCCATAAATTCCCAAGTTGGCATCTACGCGGATGACACCACAATTTACTCCTGCCTCAAAAACAAATCTAGTGTCATCTGACAAAAAACTAACCTGGCCGTGCGTCTCGAAAAGGACCTCCAATCGGTTGTGAACTCGGGCAGGAATTGGCTGGTCAACTTTAATGCTTCAAAAACAAAACTGCTCTCTATTAATCACCACAGAGATCCTTCCCTGCCCTCCATTAGAATGTCTGACGCTCAACTTCTCGAGAGCACCTCTCTGCGGCTGCTCGGTCTCACGTTGACTGCTGACCTGAGATGGAACAAATACATTGAGTCAATTGCTTCGTCCACCGCAAGGAAAGTTGGCTCCCTGTGCCGCGCCAGGAAATTTTTCTCCCCGGAATCGATCCTCCAGATCTACAAATCAACAATTCGCCCATGCATGGAGCATTGCTGCCATATTTGGTCTGGAGCCCCTTCTGTTTGCCTCAGGGTTCTTGATAAGCTCCAGAGGCGGATATGCAATATAAATGGCCCTGTTCTGGCATCTCGTCTACAGTCACTTTCTCACAGACGCACCGTCGCCTCTCTCTGTCTTTTTTTACAAATACTTTCATGGTAACTGCTTCGATGAGCTGCTTTCGCTGGTTCCCAGACTTCGCGAATTCAAGCGCCCTACGAGGCTGGCATCCCGCTCTCACCGTTTCACTGTCGAAACTCCTAAATGTAGCCGTCTCTTCTACTCCAATAGCTTCATGTCTCGCACCTCTCGCCTGTGGAACTCCCTTCCCTATTCCAGTTTCCCTGAGAGCTATAATCTCCAACTATTCAAATGTAATGTCAATCGACATCTCCAGTTGCCTTGATCTATCCACTATCCTTCTCCTCATCCTTTCCTCTATCACTCCTATCTGATCTTGCTCCAAATCTTCTGTAACCCCCTGCGTCCTAGTGGCTTCCCGCCTTGCTTGGGGTGAAACGCTTAAAAAAAACGGAGAAAGTGAAAATATAATATTTTTTTTTATATTATGTATTTCAGAAAAATATAAATTTATTTGTTATTTCTTTGTTTAGCAGCATATCAACTTTTTATGGGTCATTTAATGTCGAAATTTAATTTTATGGGAGCATTAGTAATTTCATTTACAAAAATGTATTGTTGGCAATTAATTTCCCACCAAAATGTATTGCTGGCATTTCTACACATTTTTTTGTAAAGAGGGTTTTTGTCGAGAGTCAAATCTATTGCTAGTATTTTTATTATAAAACCCTATTTTTACACTTTCATAGTGTTTTGACTCCATTTTGGGGGTTAACTATTTACCCATAGCTGGGATCCTAACAGATGCTTTCACTCTGGAGACAAGAGCAAATAAGAAGTGGTTCCACGCTCCTCGAAACCTCCCAATAAGAGGCCTGGATGTAATTTATTGTCATACCCAGGGTGGATATCATTTATTAACCTAATAACTTGACCAAATATCGTTCATATTATCTCAAATTTTAACAGCATGTGTAGGAACAATTCAGGATTCTATGCTTAATGTATTTTTCTCTTTTCAGTTATAGAAATGTGATTGACTGGAAAAGAAAAAGCGTTTTGTATGTTAGAGTTTGTCCGAACATAGTCGAACAGGACTGTGCAACGTGCATTTGTGACAGAGTTCACTACAAATGCGCAGACATGGCAGAAAAAGTTCAAAGAGGAAGGCTGTCTGTGTAGGGCAAAAGGACATAGACGAGCACCAGTATATTGCGTATATTAAAAATTTTTGAAATCGTTCAAGAAATCCGGCTATTTTCATGAATGAATCTGATTTTGTTCAACAATAAGCCTGCTTTGTTTAATTTGCCTAGACTAAGGAGTTCCTCAGATATTTAAATCTCAGATGAGATCAAATGTTTTCAAACAATCTGTATAATGCGACTCATTCAACAACAGTCTGGTTGCTGGTGAGGAAAAGCTTGTGAATGACATCCCTACAAGCTGCAGCTCATTTGGGGTCTTTTTTAACCAGAGTTATATGAACGGACTGGTCTATGCCTCCCATGCCACTCCTACTACAGAGGAACTCAAGGGGGTAATTAAGTCGCATTGCAGAGACTGTTACCAAAGATATACTGCGCCGTGCTTGGCCGGGAACTGTTCTAACGAATTGACATGTGCTGAGTCACAGGCGGTACGGATATTGAAAATTCGTGAAATCATTCATGAAATCCATATTTGAATTTTTGATGAATAAATTTTTGATGAATAAATTTTTGATGAATAAATTTTTGATGAATTTTTTATTAAGCCTTTTTAATTTGATTTGCCTAGACTTTGAAGTTACTCAGATATTTACATCTGAAGGGAGATCAAATGTTTTGAAACACCCTGTATGTAGAGTAGCTTACATGTGATAAAAGGCTGCACGTAGGGTAGAACTCGCTACTTGGACGCAATTAATCTAGCAGACGAAACTTGCTAAACATCACGTCATCTTGAAGTGTACATATACGTGTGGGTGTGTGGATATGCGTGTGTGTACATTCATTGTTTGTAGAACTAATCGAAAAATGACTTGGCCTTTATACATGAATCTATATTCGGTGATTGATGGATTATTTTCAATCTTCCTACTGAATTTAGACTATTTTTCTACTGATCGTATTTTTCTTTTTTCTTCTAAAAAACGAAACGTTATTTTTATGATAGCGTCAGATATTTTAAAATAATCTTAGAAATGACGTAAAATGTCTTAGAGAAAATTTTGAATTTGGTCGGTGAGATTTAAATTACACTAGAAGTCCTCATATCCGAACGCCCTCATATCCGGACTTCTCAGTGTCGCCATTTTGATGTTGGCGGAATCTGCTAGATTCTAATATTTTTCTTTCCTTTGCAGATAATTGTTAGTAATGTGAAATTTCTCAAGCCATAATGTCTCGCACAGAAGAAACTTCAACTGGAAGAAAAAGGAAAAGAACTTCTTTCACGTTACGTTAGAAATGAAAGATTATTGAAAAACTCAACAATGATAAAAGCTCATCTGACATAATGAAAGGAATTCTTTCACGTTACGTCAGAAATTAGAGATTATTGAAAAACTGGACGAAATTCCTAATTCGTAGATTTTAAAAATTAACAAACAAGGATTGCAGAATCTGAATGAAACGCTAAAACTTACGCTTGAAGATGATCCACTGAATATTCTCACTTTGGATGGCTTAAAAGAATGGATAAATGAAGGCGATAATGATTTATAAAAGAATTCAACGGTAAAATCGTTTCAAAATGATTTGGATTGTCAAGAAATAGAGAAAGAATCAATAATGGTGAATATATGAAAGATAAGGAAGAAAACTCCGAAGAGAAAGATATTGATGACGTCATCAAATCATGGAGAAAAATCTTTGGTCATTAGTACAGAATGTACAAGTTCACGTCATTTGCAGAAGTTCCTTACATTAAAAAAAAACTAGAACAGCGAAAAGTAAGGGAAATGAGAAAAGAAATAAGACAATTGAAAAATAAAACATTAATATTTACTTTTTTTTTACTTAATTTTTCATAAATTAATTGATAATTTTTCATATATTGCGATACGTTCTTGTGTTTTGTTAAGTTATACTTATATTACACATGCTACATTATATCCGAACGCCATCTCATATCTGAATTACTCTTTCGAAGATGAGGAATTCTATTGCATGGCATTCAGCGGAGAATGTCATGACTTCGGTTGCCAGCCATTAAAAGTTGGCAACTTTTCATTCAAAACTTTGTAAATGTTTTAAAGATTTTTTTATCATCGGGAAATTTAATAGTAAAGGAATTGTGAAAAACAAAGCAAGAATCATTAACTCGTGACATTGATTTGTTTTATTACGGCTTAACCATTTTCTGGTTATTTAAAGCTAGAAAATATTTTTAGATTATAAGAATTTCTTGGAGATAACAGAGATTTATTAACACAAGTCATAATTAATCCATAGCTGGGGGAGAAGTGGATTTTCCAAGGTTATTTGTGTGTAAGTAAATATAACGAACCCAACTGAGATTCGAACTCGGCTCACGGATTAACAAACGCACCACCCGCACATCAAAGCTTACAGCACTTAGTATTCACAAACGGTCAACCATCTAGGCACTGACCAGGCTCGCTGTTGCTTAACTGCAGTGAACATTTTCTATGTATAAAATTCTGTGACTTTTGTAAGTCTGTCTAGGTATTTGTGCGTAAGTATATTTAATTACGTACAAATACCCGGATGGACTAACGAAAGTCACAGACTGTTTGGGAATACTAGATGATGTAAACTTTGATGCGCGAATGGTGCAATGGATAATTGCACTGATTAAGGTTAAGGAAACCGATTGGAATTGGAACTCCACTCTCCAATTCCGAGCCGTTATATATTTCATCTGCAAGCTTACATCACCTGGTATTCCCAAGCGCTCACCCATCCAGGAACTGACCAGGTTTGACGTTGCTTAACTTTAGTGATCGTATGAGAACCGGTTTTTCAACGAGATATGGTCGCAAGCACGAGATAGTTATAGTGTTGAAGAATGTTGTCTCCAAGTTACCAAAATCAAAGAAGGACTTGATATTAATATCAGAATTAGACAGCATATTTGGAAACAGGAACTATTATGGAAATGGTTTTCTCATCATTAACTTTGAGACCCTTACTTATATCCCTCTGAGTTTCTCATGTGCAACTCGATTCTGTGTCATGACATCCTTTTTCCGAAGAACCACATTTAGTTCTTGGTTCTTATTTTCGGTTTTACAAAAAGCCTCACCATTACACGAATGAGAGATAACGGTCTGTCCAACATTCAGCTCCCTATCGACACGACACGTATCTCGAACATGACACCTGAAAAAAAAAAAATGTAGTAATAAAAATGCCGGATTAAAAATAAATCTGTTAATTCTTTAGAAATTGCTTTGTTTACGTTTCAGATATCCAACCGAGCAGGTATGGACATTCCAGGAAAAAAATAATCTGAACGTGGAAATGAGGTTTCCATAACAAGGGAAAACAGAGCCCTGATGGGCTATTTGATCTCTATGGTGGAGCGGTCTAAAACTCGCCGGAACAAACGATGGTTTCTCCGAGAAAGTAGGACACAGATTCGAACTCTAAAGGTGAACACATTTTCTTTATTAAGATTTCTCGAGTGTGCGGACCGATAGACGCTTTTTAAAAATAAAAATTGGGTCGTTTATTTCGGTATCCACTAAAAGAAATAACATTTAAAGTAATAATAATAATAATAATAATAATAATAATAATATATATATATATATATATATATATATATATATATATATATATATATTATAATTATTATAAATGTTATAACATCACTACAAAAATAGCCATTTTGTTTCAACACTTCTGGTGTCTTCTCAAGTGATAGTGTTGATTGCCTATTTAAAAATAGTGGTTTTGGTTATCAGAATTTTATTCCATCTATACCAAGCCTGTATTCGGATATATATATATATATATATATATATATATATAGGAAGATATATATTTATAATATCCAATAAGAGAAAAGTTTGTATATTAAAAAAAGAGAAATCGCAAATGTTTTTGTTTGTAATGTGGATTTTTTAAAAATATATTATTTTTATTTTCCATTATATATATATATATATATATATATATATTTATATAAATATATATATATATATATATATATATATATATATATATATATATATATATATATATATATATATATATATATATATATATATATATATATATATATATATTATTCTGCATGGTTTTAAATTTTAGATGCTATCCAGTAATATCTAGTATTAAAAAAAGTGATACGGTTTTCATTCACAAACCATTATTTATCAAAAATATGTCTACACCGTTTGTCTTAAGAACAAATTTTAAGGTTGTAGCTGAAAGTTTGTTTCAGGTCTTCAAGAGTGAAATATTGGCGGTTGACATTGTATCTATTGGTTGTCATTCCTCAAAGCTTGACTGTGTTACTGATGTCTTCAAAGAAGGCAAGGCAATTTATTAGTAATTAAAATTGATCACCAAAGTACTAGATACTTCGATTTTGCATAATTTTGTTTTAATCATTTCACCCCAAACGAGGCAATAAACCTGCTAAGACGCGAGGTGTTACTGAGTGTTAGAGAATACAAGAACAAGAAAACATCAAGGAGAGAGAAGAATAAAAGAAATTAAGAAGACAGATGATAACGACTGATGTTGCATTTAATTTTTTGAAAAGCGGAGAAAGAGAGAGAGAGAGAGAGAAAGAAAGAGAGAGAAGTGCGATAGAATATTAGCATAGAACTTGCGGTTACATCTCGCTATTTTAACTGTAAAATGGTGAGATCTAGCTAGTAATCTAGTACTGCGCTGAGATTCATAATGCCGAGGTACCAAAGAGGAAAACTCATTAGAACAATGGTCATGGAAATATTTATAGAAAAGGCAGAAAGAAATGAACCGTAAACCCCATCCTAAAAATAAATATACCTCTAATTCTGTTCAAAGGACGTGGGTGGGGTATGAACCAGTCGATAGGCAGGCCTATGTATCCATATTGAACCCCCCCCACAAACAAAAAAGAAACAAAACAAAAAACAACAACTAAGTGTTGTTATTATTATCATGACGTTTTGGCCGTTGTACTCTCCAGCCATCTTCATATGCTTATCGTTGCGAGTAACAGCCAAGTAGTTTAAAACTTCCACCCTTTTAATTAATCTAAGGAGTAGTTTTTTTTCCTCGTTTCGTTGTCCATGTCAAAGGATGTCTCGTCTTGTTCTTATTTAGCCTATCTCTTTCTCTCGCTCGCTCTTTCTCCGTCTCTGTACAGGTTTTAGGTTACAAGTGAGAAGAGAAAGTTTCCCTATTTTTAATATGCGAAAAACAAAACAAAACTAGAAATATTAGAAAACAGAAACCTTACTAAAGAGCGAGAACCAAAGAAAAGTAATCAGGAGGACATTAGATAGCGATTGACATTGCATTTCAACTATAGCCCTTACTCGAGTCACTATCTTCAATCCAAACTTAACATTAACTCTTGATTTAATCACATTCTTTTACCCCAAATTAAACTTAAACCAAAATATAATGTTAAACCTAATGCTAGCACGAAGTTTAAGCCCTTAGCCTAATCCTAATGTTAATCCTAGAGCCGACCTTAAATTATAACTTCAAACCTGCCTTATTATTTATCCATAGCTGGGAGAAGTGTTTTTCCTACATTTTCCAAGGGCGTTAGTTAACACAAATTGATTCAACAAGTTATAACTGTATCACCGTATCTAAATCACGTATAAGCCTACTTCATGGATAGTGTGATCAATTTTGCAGCATGAGTTTTTACCCCCCACAGAAAAATACCTATGTATAGCGCAACAATCACTGAAAATGCATAATTTTTAACCATTTCAATAAAAAAATGACCTACGCATAATGTGGCCCCCATATTTTTTTTAAGAAAAAAAAAAAAAAATGATCATAAAAAATGTTCGAACTTTATTTATTTAATTATTTAATAATCTATTGATATGAAGTGCCTCGACCTTTCTTTGTCGATTCAGACATCAGAAATATATTTTCTCGATAAGAATGTTGTTATAAAATTGTTTCAAACCAACATATATTTTGCTATCCATAGTTCCACAAGAGTTTTCTTTCTATAAAATTCGCGTGAAATCGAGGAATTCAAAAGAGATTATGGGAAAAGGAAATAAAACCAATAAATAAAATAATAATAATCAATAATAAAAGAAAAAGAAATGCATTTTCTCATGATTCTCATAGTAAAGAAACCGGAAATTTTACTACCCAACTTGGCTTCATCAAAAGCCCTATAGGTGCCACTGTTTAAGTTTTATAAAAAGACAAATATTTAAAATACAAGTTTTAGTTTGTTTGTTCCAACTCAGCGCAAGGCTGACTTAAGCTCGGCCATTATAACTACCTACGAAATAAGTACAACCTTTCTTTATAACGATGGTTACTCTAACTTCTGGATCAAACACAGGAAATGGACAAACGCAAGAGACGTTGAGACATTTGTTTCCCTACAGTTTATTTAAAAAAGAAAATAAACTGTCTGTAGTAGAAACACAAAATGTTGTGTGCATCTTAATGAATTGTTCACTGATGAATACCTACGCACGCTACAATATACACCACCACGCATCTTTTTAATTTCATAAAATGTAAAATAAAAACAAGCTGTAATTGTTAAGAGACCTGCTGGGAGACGTTAAAGACAGAAACAAAAAATATAGAATAAAGGACCCTTCCTGTTACAATTTTTTGGATATATGTATGTACTAGTGAGCTAGCCAAAATGAGCTGACTCATTTTATAGTCCACCAAGAGAAGGGTTAACCAATCAGAAAGCTCAAAATATTCAATCCGACGTGTATAAAGGCAGCCATTTTGTTTTTTCTCCCAAATTATCCTCACTGCCAACTTGATATCGAAGACTTAAAGAATTACTTAACAGCCGCTACTTTCTCTGAATCTTCACTGCCAACCTCTGATATTGAACACATTACGGACTTCACTGGATTCCATATTCAGAGACTGCGGCAAACATGGTCAACACTTCCGTCATTTTTCGATGTATGAGGGTCCAGCAGCTCAGTTCTTAGAACCGAACAGCCAGACGACCGCACATATGATTTGATTATAATGGCGAATGCTATTACAGAACCGATCTCGCTTTTTAGAAGAGTCGAATATCGAAAAATGGTGTACAGTGTGCCACAAGGTCTTTAAACGACCCTCTTCGGATTTTGAATTCAGAATTGTCCTTCTCCTAGACCGTTTGCCACCCAAGGCTATAGTACTCTGATGGTTTTGCTATTTACCTATAGCTGGAACATAGCTTAGATATGACACAAGGCCAAAAGTATGGAACACTCAGTGAGGATTGAACTCATTACTCAGAACATGAGAAGCTTGCCCAACCATTACATCACGTCGAAGTGCTCCAGTCGCTATGATATATAGTGATTTTCTAGGCGTAGCTTAAGCGTGACACAAGGCCGAAAGTATAGAGCACCCATTGAAGATCGAACCCTCTATTCAGTCGTAATTGAACTAGAGTATGTGGAGGGAAATATTTAGGATGAGAGAAGATTTTTCTCGTTTGACTATAAACCTAAACGTGAAAAAGTCTATAGAGATCCAATATTATTTTTATCAATTTACCCCAAAAGTGAGATCTTGAATAATATTTTTGAAATTTTTAAATACAGAAATGATTTCACTGCGTTCTCAGAAAACATATGATATTTGATGTATTTAGAAAACGTATAAATGCTGTAAACCGAAATATAGTGTTTATGTACTGTCAAAAAACAAAAAAAAAAACGCAATATAAGATGTTTAAAATGAAATTTTAAAATGAAATTTTAAAATGGAATAATCTCTCTTAAACCTTCATTTTAGTTTTAACTTCAAGTGAATAAATTAAATTTAATATTTCTAATAAGTAAAATAATTTGCTGTATTTCAAAACTAACTTAAATTGACTGGAAGGAGTTTTCGTTTTGAAATTGCTGATTTTAGCGCCGTATTTCATCAGAATTTTATTAAAAAATACTTTTTATTCAAAAATCTTTCAAAAATAAAGAAATAGAATAAAGAAATAAAATAAGAAGTAAAATATGCTTTTAAGAAATTTCATTTGAAGAATATTAGCTGATTTAAAGTATAATTAATTTGATTTGAAACAAATAATATTTACTTTAAGTTTAAAATATCGTAAAAATGCGTTTTTTAACACTGCAGTAGCTGCTTATTTAAGATGTTCAGATGCTGATAACTTCAATGACAGATGGAAGTTTATCTAATGTTTTTCTACTGTGGATTTATATGTAAAAATAATTGTGAGCGCCTTTTTTATATAATTTTTAAGTACTCAGTAATCTTCAAAAATTAAGAAAATATACTCCGTAATCTAATGTTTTATTAGATTTTAGATACTTTGGCTTTAAATTTACTATAGTCATCGCTCTTATTTTCTGATAATGTCGAGTATGAACAAACGCATTTACAAAAATCGGCACGTTTATACACATACAAAAATATAATTCTTATTAAAATATTGGTGTTCGATGAATTGTAATAAGCTTTTCCATTTGTGATTAGGAAATATATTTTTCTTAATAACAATATCACCTAAATACAGCAGGTTAAAAGATTTAAAACTTTTTCAATTATTCCAATTCAAATATTTAATAAATGAAAAAATTCTTGTAAAATTTCATTATTCATCGATTCTTTTAAGACAATAGTGTCAATAATACATCTTATTCATAAAAGTAATTAAAAGCTTTTTTAATTAAATAATGTCTTAGTTTTTAATTAACGATTTTATTTAGATTTTCAGTTTTTTTTTACAAAAAAAAAAAAAAAAAAAATTAAAATTGGTGATTTAAATTCCGCAACCAATTCTATTTTAACTTTTATAAAATTCAGTGACACAAAAATTAATTTCGCGAAATTTCTTAAAATTAAATAAGTGTTGGGTAACAGATATATAAAAAAATATTTTTACCAAGATTTTCTGAAAAAAAAAAGAAGTTTCTAATATAATTTCATTCATTTATGAATAAATCCTGAAAGTTTCATTAGAATCCGACAATTTTATTTTTGCAAGAATTTCAAACTCAATGTTATTTTCCACCGCCAAAACCTCTAAAATTTTCTTTACTAATCTTTGGTTCCCTCGTAGACACACACAAAAAACGTTCTAAAAAGGATCAAAAAATATAATTTACTAATCAAAAAAAATCCTTTCATTTTTCCTTTTAATAATAACAAGGATTTTGACGATAAAACATTGTTTTTATTAAATTTGGGGCATGTTTTCATCATGGTATGCAAAAATTTTAGCAAATCAGTGGCGTATTCTATGTTTATACCATCTTCTTATGTCTATTATGAAAAAATCTGCGTGGCTGAGACGTAAATCATTTAAAGTTTTTATCATTATAGTTTTTTCAAGCAATAAATTCTATTTTGATTGTGTCTGTACACGTTTCAACGTCTTCGATTATGATTCTTAAAATAGAATTCTGAACCGGTTTCATATTCCGACAGGCCATTAAGGGACAATTCATTAGGAGCATGCGCACTCAGCGTTTGTTCTTTTTCTATTCGCAGTTGTTAATACGAACGCCATAGCAGTATCGTTTTCTTTATTTTTTTTCCACTACACAAATAATAAAAGCTTTAGATCAATCTTCAACAAAGAGTAACGTTTGTTTGTGTTTTTTTTTTCTGCCTTTTTCTCCTATCTTTATGTGTGTCGCATTTTCACTCGGCTTTGTCATGGCCGAGGTTTACCAACACAACGTGGCAGAACTAAAAATTGATTTGCTGAGACGACGTCTTCTGGACGAACAGAGCGAATACACTGAAATCTACAGAGACACAAGGCTTTTGACTTGGCGGTCATTTTTGGCCTTTGTAAACGTCTTTGTGGTTTAGACATTTTCGGAAACACCAAGGCCAGATTAAAAGGAAAAACCAAAAGGCGAAACGTAAAGAGGAGGCGACCAGGTAAGCCCAAGTTGGCATTATTTGGTAACAGAAAATAAAAAAAAAAAGAGAAACTTTCACCTCACCCAACTTCATAATAATATTATTTACTCAAAAGCCATTATTTCTATTTATTATAATTTTCCTTTGCATTTTCTTTTTTTAAAAATAGATAAAGATGTATTCATCATTATTCAATAGTTTTGTCACTTTTTCAAAATAATATAAACATTCCGTTCGCATAAATTTTTGATTATTTTATGATTTGTTTGTTTGAAAATTATCAGTTTTCTTGTAGAATTCATTTCAGTGGTGACATACATTTTATGCCATCTTTATCTATCTACATGATAATCGATCAATTTTTCCTCATACTTACCAGTTTTTCTTTCTATCTATCTATCTATCTATAGAACCTGTTCATTTCATCTATCTGAGAGTAGACCATTCTGCCATCCATCTGGCTATATCTATCTATCTATCCTCTATCTATTTATCCATATCTGGGGGAAGATCTATCTATTCATTCTGTTCCCAACTATATCTATCTATCTATCTCATTCTGAATGTAATATCTATCTATCTATCTATCTATCTATCTATCTATCTTATTCTTCCTTCATATCTATCTATCCATCTATTCCATCTATTATGGATTCTATCTATTCTATTCAATCTATCTATCTGATATATCTATCTATCTTTTATTTGTTCATTCATCTATCTATCTATTTTTCATTCATCTATCTAGCTATCTATCTTATTCTGTTTTTTCTTTCCATTCTATTCTATTTCTATTTTTCATCAAATAAAATCATTTTTACAGTGTCAGACTTTTACTTCGTAGCTATCGGTATAATTTTAAAGGTCTAAATTTACTTTTCCCGGCTTTTTACTTTGATTACAAATATACCGGTTTTATATTTTTCTTTAATTGATTTTTGGAAAATGATTTCATGCTAATTATCTGAAAATTTATAAAAAATGCTGTTAACTAAATAAACAGAGCGTCTACTCAAACATGGGTAACCGCTTAAAATAAAGTTTAAGCAATAAAATCTCACGTATTGATAAATAAAATCCATTTCTGCTTTACAAATATATATGTACATAAATTTATATCTATAATACATGATAGTAGAGAAATTATTTTTATTATTGTTTGTGTTTCTCGATTTCCTGCTACACACACATACACACACACACCCACACAAACACACACACACATACATTGCATTTATGCATTTATTTTGTTTCTAATGTTCTTTAAAATATAAGCATAAAAGTATTCATTAAACGTAAAATCCAATATACCTTTATTCTCTCTGCTATCTACATATATATTTTCTGGTTCAGATTATTATTTTTTTTTATAGATACAAAATTAAGTAAATGCTCTGTTTAGATAAACAGTAATAATTAAAATTTAAACATGTATTGATGAGAAAGAAATTTTGTAAAAAATAAGTGTATTGAGAAATAAGAAATCATCATTTGAAACAAACAATACAATTTAGATTGTTAGGAAGATCTCCTCTTATATGGCAGTGAATTAGTTAAATGCTATATGAGGAGAAAACTCAAGCTTTATGAAAACAGTCTGTTTCCAGATATGCGAACACCTATTTGGGAAAGAGCAGAGATTGTGCAGCCGAATTTAGTGTTGATAAATTTCACCGTGTTGTCTCTTTCAGCAGAGATATTTCATATCAAGGTTCTTTTTTTTAAGCCATCTCACTCCCGCAAGCTTTCGTTTAAAACAACGTAGGCCAATTCTTGATACTCGATCATTTGTCTCAGTTCCTTTTTAAGATTTTTTTTTTTGTTTTGGCATTCATCACTTCCTTTTTATTGACATTTTCTGTGTTTTAATTTAAATTAAATCTCCCTTTGAAACCTGAAGAGAAGCGAAACCAGTTAATAAATTCAAGTTTTTAATATGTCTAGTAATATTAGAGTTTGGTATTATTTCTGTCATATATATATATTTTATATTGTTCAGAATATATATATATATATATTTTATATTAAGGTTTTAATTTAGATAGATAGAATTTCTAAAGAATTAAACGGATTTTTATTCATAATCTGACATTATACACAAATTTGGTTATCCAAATCAAATTTGTAGTGATCTACTTAATTTTTCGTTTTAAGTAATAAAGAAATAACTTTATTAAATTTCCTATGTTTATGTTACGGCATTCGATAATAAAGTTAGCATATATGAGAGTCGAAAGATCTGAACGAGGGATGCGCTTTCCTTCATAAAGGTAATTCCCGTATATATTCGTGTATAGGTCTAAATATGTATAATCCAAGAAAAACCGAACATTTTTGGGAAAAAATTGATTTTTCCACACATCTCATATATAGTGTGACACCAACTTTTTAGTACCAGTTTTTAAAATAAAATTTTCAAATATTGCAAAATACTAGGCATCAAATTTCACATATTTTATTAAATAAAAATAATCTTCATTTTTTTTTTTGTAAAACATCCAAAAATGGCAAGAAGAACCGCTTACCGTAAAATAACTGTTAAAAAGATTTAAATAGCGTACTTTTGTTTTCATTCATACCTGTCCACTGTATACCGTAAATAAAGCTACTAGAATTAAAATTTATTTACTACTAGCAGTAGAACCCGGCGTTGCCCGGGGATGTAACAGTAAGAGATAGATCAAGTATCGACCATCATAAAGACTGAAAAATAAAATTGACAAAGATTATTGTTTAAGGTTGACGGACACGCATGTCTTAATTAGTTTTTTTATTTTTATTTTTTTTTTTTATTTTTATTTTTTTTTATGAATTGGTCAAACCCAGACTCAAACAAAAACATTGTTTTCAATCGTTATGAGTCTACGGATTAAAAAGAATTTTATTATAAACAATTGTCTTGTAAATGGAATTTTTAAAGCATTCTGAATGTAAAAATAAAGAAAAAATGTGTGCAATAAGATAATAAGAAACACCAAAAAAAAAAGTGAAGTTTTGTTGAAATCAGTTGAAAAATGTAGGAAATCCGATCCCATATATAGACGAACACACACACACACACAACCAACCTGGGTTTTATAAGTATAACTCGATATGAGTTGTCCCCCTTTCATTCTCGCGATAGCGATGCCTCGTAATCGTATTTTCAAATTGATTTGGTGCAAAAACTATCGTTTTTCTAATTTTTGGCGCTGTCAGAACCACCGCAAGGTAATTTTACGTAGTCCTGTGAAGTTTTGTTGAAATCGGTTGAAAAATGTAGGAAATCTGATCCAATATATAAACGAACAGACACACACACACACACACAACCTGGGTTTTATAATAAGTATGATTTCAGCAATCATTTATCGTATATTGCTGTGTATCTTATCAAAAATTTTTAAGAACATATAACATTGAATTATAAGATAAGATAATGCAAGTAAATGTGAAGAATATAATAAATAAAAACAAATATAAATAAACAGATAAAGCCAGAAAAAGGAAGGCAACTGAAATATTTATGGTATAGATACATATCAGCCAAATTGATAATTCTTTATTTATATAAGTTATTTGTAGATTTTAAGCGGCACACATAGTGAATGACGTTCTGCTGTACATGTAGCAATAGAAAGTAAGACCCTAAATACGTTTAACAACAATAATACAAGTGATCTTATATATACTTGTGCCAATACTATTTATTATGTACTCTTTTCATATTTATCGATTGTCTTCTAATATTCATTATTTCAACCAATATTATGAAAATATTAAGAATCAGTGGTCCATTTGATGAACAACTCTCTACTCCCTTTTGAGTGCAAATGGTTCGCGTGTGTATAGTTTGTATATATGTGTGTATATTTAAACCATATTTTTTTAATTTTAACTTAATGAAGTAATCTAAACTATTAATATTCCTTTGAGTTCAACTCCTGGGTTAATCTTCAGTGTGATATTAATAATACAATAATTCCCCTTGACCTGAGTAACTTTACTAGCGATGGTGTCGATAAAATCGTCCAGCCTCCTGTGCTGTGAACAGGTTAATAAGAGTAGATCGGCTCGACTATCATCCGGTTCGCTTTCTTTCCATGTTTATTGATAAAACATTATTTCTTGATAGGATATAGTTTACCCATGCTTTTTTTTTCTTTCTTCCATGGCCATAATGATTTAGCAATCTTAACCTTTTAGTGATATGACTAATCAGTGGCCGTGATTCTTCATTATGAGGTTGCCGGGTTGGTTGTTTTCTCGTTACTGCATCTGACTGGTTGTAAGGAGAACAGATTCTTTGGTATCGCTTAGAGAGGCTGTTCTTATCAGCAGTCACATAATATAAGGGTATTTGCAGTACTGCGCTGCTCATATATATATGTATATTTATTGCTAATACATAATATATTTTTTTAGCATCAGCATTCAATGTTTGATATTATATATTCATATTACGCCCCTGTTAGTTGACCACTCTTATCGGTGTAATAGTATCTATATTTTGAATCCAAAATGGAAATGGCATGGTGAGACACCGGTTTTTTGCGGGGGAGGGGGGGTTAAGAATAATCCCTATTGATAATGGTAAACCTTATTCTAATAAGAGAATAGTCGTACTTCTACCTAGTTAAAACTTAATAGATAAAATTAAGGTGTCGCGATAAAATCGGCCCACCTCCTGTGTTTTGAACACGAGTATATCGGCTGGCGCACACCGCTTCCATGTATATTGACCAAAAGTAGAGTTTTTCCTATTTAAAATATGGTTTAACGGTTTTTCCATGGCCATAATGATTTAATTCTCTTAACCTTTTTGCTGATCTGACTGATCATCAGCTGTGACACTTCATCATGAGAGCGTTAGCATTTTTCTGATTGCTGCATCTGACTGGTAGTAAGGAGCCTGGATTCTTTGGTAGCGCTTAGAGAGCCTACTTTGATTAACAATCGCATAATATCGGGGTAGTTGTAGTGCCAAGTCATGCATAGTTAGATGTCCCTGCATGTATTTCCGGTGGACAACTCTAAGGTCACATTATACTTTAATCCCGGCCGCGTTCTGGGCCGTTTGTATTACCTTAAACATTAGATAGTGATAATTATGTTTGGCTTTTTCCCCTCCTCAAAACAAAATCTCCTTATGATAAAATCAATGAAAAGAAATACGAGTAAAAAAAAATCACCTACTCATCTCAACTTTTCTTCTTTCTCCAATATTCGAGGTATCCGTTTCAATTTCTGTAGTGTAGAATCATTTCTCTTGAAACGGTCTACAGATATCTTTAAATATATATAGATATCTACAGATAATTTTAAATTCTTACATTGCTACCAATGGATTCTCTGTTCCAGAGTATCATCGTCTTTGCTGAAAAAAATCTAAGATACATATGCATGTCCTTGGTGTTTATATCTGGGAAAATTTGCAAATCGTAAGGGAATTTCCGCTCGCGTCCCGAGATGATTCTTTCATGTGCTTTCGACTTTTGTTATTGCACTCTGTTAGCTATATCTTTTTCCTTTACCGCCCCCTCTTCTCTGGACTTTATTAGACAAAATATGTGACAACATAGAAATCTCTCTCTCTCTCTAGATTCATACGCGAACACTTTTGTATTTGGTGATATTAATGCTCATCATGACAAATAGCTTTAAGGATTCTAATGTTACTGATGTTACCGTTACTCATACATTCAATTTTTTCCGTTGCTTAGTCTCTCATGAAAATAGTGGATTTCTCTACTAGTTTCCCTAATAAATCTGATCAAAATGCTTC